GATGAACAACACCAAAAAACCGAACTACACACTCTCACCAACGTACTTACAGCCAATGGATTCCAAAGAAAGAAGATTACCCACCTAATCCAAAAAGAAACCCCAACCAAAATCCAAGACAGAGAACAAGAAAACGGCAAAGCCCTCCTCCCATATATAAAAGGCACTACAGACAAAATTAGCAAGATCCTCCAAAAACACAACATCAAAACAGCATTCTGCACAAACAGAAAAATATCCACCATCCTAAGAAACCCCAAAGACAAAATTGAATTAGAAAACCAAGGAGTATACGAAATCCCCTGCACTGCCTGCCCTACCACATACATTGGACAAACTAACAGAAGAATAAGTGCACGCATTGAAGAACATAAGAACTCAATCAAAAAAGAAGAAACGACCTTTTCCCTGGTCCAACACCTCAAAGCCACAGGACATGAAATTGATTTTAAAAATACCAGAACTATCGCCAAAACCGAACACTTCAACAGCAGAATAATCAGAGAAGCCATAGAGATAGAAAAACGCCCACACAGCATGAACAAACGAGATGACACCTCCCGCCTTCCAGCCATTTGGAAACCCGCCCTCATGAACAGATGAGTACCTAACATGAAGAAGGACACCAGACCCACACCCATGAGAGCCACACAAGGTGCCACCACCACACTTCCATGTAGAAAACAGACTCTCACCCACTCAGAAGATGAGACACGACCATGGATCAGAAGCTGCACTGCAGCTGCATCACTACCCACTTCAAACCCCTCCAAGACATACATGAAGCAAACCAACACCCACTATGAAGATGCAGCACGACCACGAACTCGAAGCCAAACAGCAAGATCACAACTCACCAGCTCAAATCCCCCAGCAACTAAGACTAACCTGAGCACAACCAAGCCCCCACCTGAACAGAACACGCCTCCAACCAATCAGAACACGGCTAACCCCCCAACCAATCAGAACACAGCCAAAACCCCTACCAAGGAGAACACACCCCCACCCAATCAGAACACAGCCAAGCCCCCACCCAATCAAGTCCTACCCCCACTGGCAGTTAAAAGGAGGAAGCAGCTGCAATCTCACATTACTCTGAGAAGCACAGAGCCGGAGACAGAAGCCTGAAGATGATGAATGAGACTTCATCGAAACGTTGCCTAGATACTTCGAATCTTACGCGGGAGAAAACCCGAACAACCAAAGATCCACATATATAGTATATGTATATATATGTATATGTAGGCATTCACATATCCATGCAACTTTTAATGAACCTGACAAAAAGCTTATCACGAACTTTAGCTTAAGAAAACTAAATTCATTTTCAGAAAAAAACCACATCTCTTTTCAGCATTTTTTTGCATGAAAATAGTTACACCAATCAAACAATGGTGATTAGCCCTAGAAAGAAAGGTAGTTTGGGGGTAAAATCTTTAACCGTTGATTGAAAGTTGAAACTATCAGTCATTTATTTACAATCTTCCTCCTTTTCTTTCTAGGTAAAAAGCTCAATATCTCTCTGTCTTTCAAAATTTCCAAATTAATAAAAAGCTTCAACTGGTCTCAGATAATGGATTCAGTTGTACTTCAGTTCAGATATCTCATGAATCTGTCCATAATAGTGTAATTATGGAATATGTGAATGAGGGTTCCAATGTATCTGATGCAAGCCCTTATTTTGCTGCAGCCAAATCAGAATGAAGATCAAAGATGTCTATTCCATAATCTCTCTATCTCTCTCAACATATTAGTTGAAACTAGAAAAAAAATAATCTACATTCTTAACCTTCCTATCTTTGTTGCATTCTGTCTCTCCATTCAATCTGCTATTGAAACTGTTCATTTACAAATAAGCTGAATATTTTCTTTCAGCTTTAAGCAAGCTTGTAGGATCTGTATCGTAGTTTCATTAAATAATTTCCCCTATTAGGGTCTCTAACAGATCTCTTCAGCTCATTACTGCTATTGTTATCATTATCATCTCTATCCATTATTTGAAATGGAAACAGTCATGGGAACAGCACACCAGACTGTTTTTCTGTATCTTGTACTGTCCACTTTCTTGGTTCTCAATTCTTTCAGAAGGCCAAGAGTCTTCTTAGTATCTCAGTAGCAGTTGTATTACTCCTTCAAGATGCAGATTCTGAATATATTTTCCCAATGATTACAAACATGTATGTTTTTGTATCCTCTCAAATCCACTAATTCTTAATGATCAGAATCAGAAATTTCATTGAGATTGTAGAGCAGGCGAGAAAAAGGCGGTCTATCGTTTTGCTT